TTTTTGCGTTCCTTTTCTTTGCTTTAAGGTACAGAGAAGGAAATAGAACAACAGTAATAATAAATTGTCTTAATTCTTCGTAAGTTTTTAAACTCATAAATGGTCAGAGTATATCCTTTATAAATGCATGCTATATATTTCATTTTTAAAATTCTTAGAATTTTACATTCACGTTTTTAGAACTTTTTTTAATGTTTTATTTTTGAGAGATGGGTGTGCAAGTGGGGGAGGGGCAGAGAAAGATGGAGATTGAGGATCTGAAGCGGCTCTGGGCTGACAGCCTAGAGCCCAGTGCAGGGCTGAGATCATGACCTGACCCAGAGTCAGACACTTAACAGACTGAACCACCCAGGTGCCCTACATTTTTAGAATTTGCATTTAAGTTGTCATACTTTAAATTATCTTTTATTTTTTTTTAATTTCTCATTAGTTTATATAATCTCAAAGATTACTGTCTCCTTTCTAATTGTTTTCTGTTAGTGAGCATTGTTCTCAAGGATAATTTTTATTACATTGGTAAATAATAAAGAATCATGACCTTATTTAGAGAACCACTTTTTTGAAAACAAAATTCCTTTCTTAATGTCTTTGTATTTCTCCTATTTTCTGTATCTTAATACTGCTTATGGAAAAATTCTTTCTCTGCTTAAACCAGAGTTTTAAGTCTTAAGTCTGGTTCTTGTATTGATTGTATCTGTCATTCCATACCTTTTCTAATATTACTGTTACCTGTAGTCCCTTTGTGTCTGTAGTTTTGAAAAGCTGTGAAAATTCTCTGAATTTTTAGGATACCCTACCAGGTAGGAGTGTTTACCGTATGAAGAGAGACTTTGTCCTTTAGGTTAGCTTCTTAGTGGTCTAGTAAAGGTCTGTGTCTTTAGAGATTCCATATTTGAAATATCAACATTATTTAGATGAAAATGGAAGGAAATATGATTCATATAAATCCCTGAAACTTACTTCAAAATATGTTTTTAGAAGTCCTAAGTGAGTGTTTTGCCCATGATTAAACAAACAAACAAAAAAAGCAGAAGAAGAATTTAAGAAGCTAGATATAAGCTTCTTCATGTCAGGGTTTTGTCTTTATAACCCTCTGTGGGCTCTCATTATGTCTTGGTTCGATTTAAACTTTGGGGGGAAGGAGTATATACATGGGTGGTTAAATCTCATGGGGAGCACCTGATTGTTGGATTTACTGTCATGGGATTTGTTCAGTATGGTGCCATTTATGGTGCCATTCCTGACTAATCCAAGAAATTGTGAATTCCAGGATTTTAAATGTCTTGCCTGATTTAATGAATCTTTCTCCAAATGAACCTTAGAATTATTTAAAGTTCTCTAAAATCTCAGTAAGGTTTGCATTAAATATTGAGTCAGATTATAGCTTTCAGTCCAGGAACATGGTATGTTTCTGTTCAAATCATTTTTGAGTTCTTCAGCAAAACTTTGCAATTATTTTAGTTATAGATTTTGTGAATTTCTTAATTTTTTTTTCTTCTTTGCTAATGTTTAATATTGTTTCCCCACTGTATTTTCTTAGTGGTGATGCAGGTTATATAGAAAAGTGCTTGGATTTTCTTTACTAGCTAAAATCTTAAACTTAGTTTCAAAAGTTTGTTATTCTTTTAGTTAATAAATTACAGTGTCTTTGTAGAGCTGGGAATTGACTTCTAACTTTACCTTTAATTTTTAAATTATTTTCGTTTTTTTTTTTTTTAAGCTCTTTTCACTTATGGATATGAAACCTCCCATCTCTCGAGCCAAGATGATTCTTATCACTAAAGCTGCTATTAAAGCCATTAAGGTAAGAGTAAAAATATTTAATTTGAAAAATTTTTTTTGGAAATTTTGAAAATATTGTTAAACATGAGAATTCGACCTGTTAGTTTAGGCCTGAATCAGAGAGCAGTAACTAGCTTTTGCTGAAGGTGTATGATAATAAAGTACAGTGTATTTGCGTTGTAACATATTATTTCAAAACCCGCTTTTTTCCTTTTGTTGTTCTGTAGTATCTCCCCTTTATATTGTTTCAAGCTTTGTTAAGTATAATTGACAAATAAAATCGAATATATTTAAGAATAGAATTGGACAGAACAGAACATGATGGTTTGGGGCTCCTGGGTGGCTCAGTTGGTTCAGCACTTGACTCTTGATTTTGGCTTGGGTCATGATCTCACATTTGTGAGATCGAGCCCTGCGTCAGGCTCTGCGCTGAGTGATTTTTTTGGGATTCTCTCCCTTTCTCTCACAATTGTTTAACATTAAAAAGAAAAGAGGAACATGATAGTTTGATACATACATACATTATGAAATGATTAACACAGTCAAGCTAATTAGCACATCCGTTGCCTCACATAGTTGCCTGTGTATGTGAGAGAGAGAGAGAGAGAGAGAGAGAGAGACTGACTCAGAAAGTTGAATTAACTGAAATGGAGAGTAGAATCAAAGGTGTTTCTATTATTTTATTACACTGTTCTTATACCTCATAAAGTTGCTTGATACACTGCTTTATTAAGGCTTATTGATTAAAAATCTAAGAAAAGGAACTTCTTTTCCAAGGGAGGGGGGTGTAGTTTCTGTGTTATTTATTTATTTCATGTTTGTTTATATATTTGGAAAGAGAGTGTGTGAGTAGGGGAAGGGCAGAGAGAGACCCAAATAGGCTCTCCCTTATCAGTGCAGAGTCAGAAAGGAGCTTAATCCCACTAACCATGAGATGATGACCTGGGCCTAAATCCAGAGTCGGACAGTCAGCTGACTGAGCCAGCCAGGCACCCTAGTAGTTTCTGTTTTACTTAATTTCTTTCTGATTTATATTCACTTGTTGACTAAGGATTATTTCTCATGGTTCACTCACTATTATCTTGAGAATTATTCAGATTTTGCAAATTTTAAGGTTTCAAGTATTTTCTAACTATATTACTGAAAATGTGGAAATACGTAAACTATAGTAATTTTCTTCTAATTCTTTTCAGCTTTATAAGCATGTAGTTCAAATAGTAGAAAAGTTCATCAAAAAGGTAACTATTCATTTCATTATTACCTCATTTTAGTTATCAGTATTTGTAATTTACTTTTTTCATTGTAATCTGGATGCTTGCTTTTAAACCCACTCTACAAAAAAAAGTTGTCACTAGGCTTGAGTTTGTTTTTAAACAAAACAAAAACAAATTTATAGCAGTACTGTTGACTGAACCCTGAGTGTGAGGTAGGTACTCAGCCAGTCTTTTGTACTGTGCTGGATGCTTCCCTGACATTCCTCCCCTGCTGTTTGCCCTGTCTACTTTGTTGACATTTAACTAATCCTGGAGTATTTCAAATGAAATCACTTTGTAAAGTTTTTCTTTCTAATTTTTTTCTGCTTCTGTCATAATTAAATCATTTTTCAGTTTCACAGTTGTATCTGGTTTTATAACCATGTGATTAGCACACATCTGTCTCACCAGAGGACTGAGAACGGATACTTAAACCTCTCTGTCTTCTTCCCCAACCTGGAGCTGTGTCGTGTGGTATATACTAATAAATGTGTGTGGCATTGTCTTTGATCCATGGCCTTTGAATACTAGCTAAGAGATGAGAATTAGAGTCCCAGTAGACCAAAAAAATGGCCAGTAGAAGTTTTTATAGTAGCACATCAAAGTGTAAATAAGTAAAAGAGAAAAAAATTAAAATTACCTGCATGCCACCACCCCAAATGACTTTGATATTTATATCTGGATCTACTCATTTTTTAATTGTGTACATGTACATTCATAAAAGGGAAAATGGTGACATTGATAACCTGTTTTTCCCCACTAAATTTATCATAAACATCTGTAGAGTATTCCATCACATGATTGTTTCCAAAGTTTATCCAGCTGGTTCTGTGTTGTTAGACGTTTCACTTCAGTGGCTGTCCTTAAAGAGAAAATTAGATGCATCTTAATTGTTTTCCTTATGGTAAATTTCTAGACGTAGAATGGTTGGATCAAATAAGGCTTTGCTTTTATTGTTAAATCATCTTCCAGAAAGATTGTACCACCAGAAATGTATATAAATGTCTCTTTTCTTGTTGATTTGATAAGACAAAAATGGTATCTCCTTTTAGCTTTTGTTTTTGCTGGTACTATGCTTTAGTAGAATTAAAATTGATGCTATTAAAATTATCTTTTTAATAATTTCAAAAGGCAAAAATTATTTTTTAATCAGGATAAGTTGGAGTAGGAGGTATCATAATAAGTGGATTTGTATGGAAGTGGCTTAGGGATTGGTAAAGTAATGTTGATTCCAGGAAATTGTGGGGAGATAGAAGGATCAGAGGGCAATGTAAATTATTGGGGATTTGAAGTATCAAGATAATTGATTGTTCTGTATGGATCTGTGAACTTTGACAGTCTAGCCAATAAGAGCTAAATATTCAGGCACTTTCTAGATAGAAACACTCATTGGATATATAGAATTCTATAAAAGGGAGATAAATGCGTGTCAAATTGTGATTTTGCTTTTCTTGTATTGACTTTACATTTTTACCTTTGTAGTGTAAACCAGAGTACAAGGTTCCAGGATTATATGTAATTGACTCAATTGTGCGACAGTCTCGTCATCAGTTTGGAACTGATAAAGATGTTTTTGGGCCAAGATTCTCTAAAAACATAACTGCCACATTCCAATATTTATATCTTTGTCCATCTGAAGATAAGGTATAGTAAAAATCATTTTTACATTAAAACTTGTATTATTTCTATATTTATTTGAATCTGTTTATATTATGTATTTGAAATGTACTGTACTATTAGAATTACGTGGTGGTCTCTGAACTTGAAACAAAATCCAGCGTTTTCTGTTGTGGTCATCTCATGTTTAATTTCTTGTGAAGTTCTTCAGGAATGTTGTACTGTTGAAAAAGGAGCACCATCTTACTTTAAAGAAGACATTGTTGGAAAGATTTACTTGTAGTTGAGTGATAAATTCTACAGTGGAGGAAGGCAGTACTCCTCTCATATTGTTGCTTATTGCAGAAGAAAGGGACCAATAATTGATGGCTTTCTCCTGCCTGTAGAGATGCTAGAGCATAAATGGTATTCATTAGCAATCAGACTACAGTATTTAATTCCTTGTATTTATAGCTGATTTTACTATGTACCGTTGAAAGGTAGAAAAACTTTACAGACATTTATAGTAGAACTCCCAGTAGGTGGGAGAAATACACTGCTAAATCTACTCAGAATAATGAAGAATGAGGACATTTACAGTAAATAGTATATAAATTTGAGTGTTGTAGATACTGTATTTATGTTCTTGGAGGAGTATTCTTATGGGATAAGTATACAGGAGAAAAGATCGTATCTTGAGTAGGACATAAGAGTTACTCCCATGAATAACACATCTCTGGCTCTCCATATTTATTGCTCCATAAGATTACTTACCTATCAGTTACAGATCAGTTTCGTAAATATTTTAACTGTTATAATTATCCTGAAGAAATCCTTCTTCACTTCATTTACTTTCCTCAGATAACTTTTTTTTGTCGGTGATGGCATATTTTTGTAATCATAAATGAAATGAAAATTTCAAATACATTTTTTATTATTATTTGGATTATCCAGGTTATATTTCTTTTCTGATTCTCCCCCCCCCTTTTTTCCCCTTCTTTGTTTTTTACTTTATCAGAGTAGTTTTTAACCAGGTTGTAATTCTGAAGATAACTTTTTTTTTCTGTTTGTGAAATAGATTTAGTACAGAAATACTAGCCTTGGGATTTTTTGTTTTTTTTAGTAAGACGTATAATACATTATTTATGCAAATATTTATTGTATATTCATGTTTTGTTACACATAACAGAGTAAAATAGTTCGCGTGCTGAACCTTTGGCAAAAAAATGGAGTATTCAAAATTGAAATTATTCAGCCTCTTTTGGACATGGCAGCAGGAACTAGTAATGCCGCTCCAGTACCAGAAAATGTTACTAATAATGAAGGTATGGTCAAATATATCTGTGAGCTTAGAAAATGTTACAACTTTTTCTGCATGTGAAGTTTGAAGTCTGTTTGTACTGGTGGAATTTTTCCATAAAAAAGAAATTGGAAGTTATGGTTTACTTTCCATAATTGTTATTTCTAGTAAAAATATGCTCTTTCAGTATTTGCTGTAGTACCACGATCTGTGTTTTTACTATATATTAAAATGAATGGAATGTTGTTATAGTAAAAAAGCTTAATGGAGTTCAAAAAGGAAAATGTGTAGATTAAAGTTTTTGTAGGTCTTAATGACCTTTTCTTTTTTAGGCTCACCTCCACCTCCAGTTAAAGTTTCTTCTGAACCCCCCCAAGCCACTACAAACTCTGTACCATCTGTACCACAGTTGCCTAGCTCTGATGCTTTTGCTGCTGTGGCCCAACTGTTTCAGACAACTCAAGGTCAACAGGTAAACTACCTGTCTGGAGATTAAATTCCTTGCAGTTAGGTACTATTGTCAGTTTTGATTTTCCTTTCCTAACTAGTGAGGACATTCAAGGGAGGAAATATTTCTACTTTTCACCTGGAAAAGCCTTCAGTAGGAAGGTAATGGAAGAGGGATAAATAGAGAAGATGTGGGAAAGGTGAAAAATAAGGGAGCCACATACTGAGAAATGGCAATACCTCTTTGAAGAGAACCTCAGAACTGCTGACTGGTTGGTATTGTTGCTCATAATTCTAGCATTTCCAATTAACTTCAAAATTATTTGGATTGGAGGTGAATTTTACATTTTTCTAGAAAACGTTTATTTACCTTGTTTACAGTTCAATGTATTTTCTGTTTTTGACCATCATTTTCTGCCTTTGGGGTGTCAGCATATATTTTTAACCTTAAGTGACCCCAATCCCTGATATTTACGACAGACTTAACCATTACTAAAAGGTGTTTTCTTTTTCCAGTTTACTTTGTGCCTACGCTATTTTGAGTCACCTTTAAGAATTTTTTCTCTTCAGTAAATTAACTTTTGATACTATGATTATACTTTGCTATGTGGTTTATCAGTTTTCCCATTTTTTAAGCTTCAGCAGATCCTTCAGACTTTTCAGCAACCTCCAAAACCACAGTCTCCCGCCATTGACAATGCTGTGATGGCGCAGGTCCAGGCTATCACGGCTCAGTTAAAGACGGCTCCTGCACAGCCACCTGAACAAAAAGCTGCTTTCCCCCCGCCTGAGCAAAAAACTGCATTTGACAAGGTAGGCTTCACTCAATAACCCACCTAAACTGTTTAGACCACTCAATTTGGAATGTGGAAGTTACTTCTTCTCTACTTTCTCTCTAGATTGTTCATTTTGTTGTTTTTTGGTTGGAGGAATTTTCCCCCTCAATATCAAAGCATTGATTATTTTTCCTGGTTATAAATGTAATATATACTCGTTACAAAAATTTCCAGTAAAAAGGAAATGGAAAAGAAAACAGGAAAGCTTTCACCATTAACCCCCATAGTTGGGAGATAACTACTCTTTTCCGAACTAATTTCCCATGGATATATTTTTCTTTATTGGTCAGAATATGTTTGTATGTCACAATAGGTAATATTATAAATGTTATAAATATAAATTATAAATATTATAAAGAAAATATATACAGTTTTTAACTTGCTTGTTTTTATCTTAATCTTATTTCTTTGTTGTTAAGGTTAGTAGATTTAGTTCTACATTTTTACTGAGTGCTTATTAGGGATATCCTATTACATCTGTGTGTCACAGTTTAGCCATTCCTCTATTGGTAGACAATTAAGTTACCTTGTGCTTTTTGCTGTTAAAACTTAGTTACAATATGTATAACTTGAGAGTTTTGTTCAGTGTCTTCCAACTTTGTTGGCCATAGGCATGTTTAAGGAGCTGAGCTAGTAAGGGCATAGATGTGCTGAATTTGCACAGCTTAGAGCTTCCCATTGAAATGTTAACTCAAGCAACTCTATCTTAGCTGTTTTATGTCCTGTGTATTTATTGGGTTTATGACTATATAAACTTTGATTTCATCTTACAGGTCTCACTGCAAAAGCAAAAATATTTGAAAACCCTAGAACGAAGTGATAATTTTTAGTTTAATCATCTCTAAAATTTTTTATTCTTTCCAGATTTTAATTTTAAGATATAATAACTTTATTGCTGGTAGTCCAAATTAAAAATCCATTTTGGGGGTGCCTGGGTGGCTCAGTTGATTAAGTGTCCGACTCAATCTTAGCTCATGTCTTGATCTCAGAATTGTGGGTTCAAGTCCTGCATTGGGCTCTGCACTGGGCATGAAGCCCACTTAAACAAAAAAGAATGCATTTGGTATATACTGGTTGTCATTATATCTTAGTGATTTATGAACAACTACTGATTAAAAGAAGTTTGAATAGTGGCACCTGGGTGGCTCAGTTAAGCGTCCACTTCTTAATTTTGGCTCAGGTCATGATCTCATGGTTCAGGAGTCTGAGCCCCGCATTGGGCTCTTCACTGGCAGAGTGGAGCCTGCTTGGGATTCTTTCTTTCTCTCTGCCCTTCCCCTGCTCGTACACGCTCTCTCTCAAAACAAATAACATACATAAGTAGAAAAGGAATACATGCTAATAGGGAAGAAAAATTGCAAACAGGAAGTTCTAAAGTAAAAGGGGAAGCAATTCTCTGCTTTGAACAGATTTGTGTTTGCTCTTTCAGAGTTTAGGAAAACTCTCCCCGCTTGGGTTTTTTTTTTTTTTTTAATATTTTGGTAGTTTTATATTTTTGTTTTCTATGTTTGTCTCTTCATTCCATCTGGAACCTAGTTTAGAATATGGTTCAAGACAGTTAAATCTCGAATTTTTTGGAAATAGCCAATTCTCCCTCACTATTTTTGTCATACACTGAATTCCGAATTCTCATTTGTTTCTGTGTCTATTTGTGGACATTAGGATTCTATTGTGCACAGCTAATACGTTTATTTCTGTTATCATAACAATTTAAATACTTGCAGCTTCTATACTATATTCTGTATCTCATTTCCAAGTATCACACACACACACACGCACCCCGCTCTGCTTCTTTTTCAGACTTTCTTTGGCATATGTATTAATCTGTATTCTCCAGGGGAAAATACTGCTTACACACACACAGAGGGAAAGGGGAGAAAGAGATTGGTTGATTTTTAAGAAATTATTTGACTCAGTTGTGGAGGCTGGCAAATTTGAAATTTGTAGGGCAGAAGGCAGGCTGGAAATTTATTAGGTAAGAGTTAATGTTACAGTTTTGAGTCTGAATTCTACAGAGCAAGTTTTCTATGTTGCTGTCTTGGGAATTCCTTGTTCAAGAAACCTAAGTTCTTACTCTTAAGGGCTTCAACTGAGTGGTTGAGGCCCACCCACATTATGGAGGGTATTTCTTTATTCAAATGCTATTAATTGTTAATCACATTTTTAAAAGACCTTCACAGGAACATCTAGATGAATATTTGACCAAACAACTGGGCACCCTGACCTAGTCAAATTGGTACAGTTAACCATCACAGCATACTTTTTCAAGATGAACATGGGGCACCTGGGTGGCTTAGTCGGTTAAGCGTCCGACTTCAGCTCAGGTCATGATCTCACGGTTTGTGAGTTCGAGCCCTGTGTTGGGCTCTGTGCTGACAGCTCAGGGCCTGGAGCCTGCTTTGGATTCTGTCTCTTCTTCTGTCTCTGCCCTTCCCCTGCTCATGATCTGTCTCTCTCTGTCTCAAAAATAAATAAAATATTTTTTTAAAAACTCTTAAAAAAAAAAGATGAAATTTAGCATAAATTTTAAAATGTATTAATTTAAGAAGTGCCAAGAGCTTCTTATACTGCATCTCTATTGACATCATTTTTCATTTAAGTCTTATTCAATTATTGCTTCATTTATTCTTAAGGTATTTAGACCTTTTTCATGTTTGTTTCTTTTAAGTGGTCGTGTTATTAAACACTTAGTTTTCTAATAGGTTCTCTGAGATTTCTGGGTAGCTACTAAATTTGACTTTTCCTCTTCAACATCTATGCCTGTTTCTTTTTCTTACTGTATTGGGGGCTAGGACTTCCAAAAAAAATGTTGAATAAAAATGCTAATGGAGTCCTTATTTTTTTGTTGTTAATTTGAATTGTAATTCCTCTAGTGTTTCACCCCAAGTAGTTGGTTGGTCAGTGTTTATTAGTTGCATGAAGTTTAGAAAAAGAAATTCTGTGGTTTTCCTTTGACTAAAAGGTCTGTTTTAAGCTAGTAGAACAGCTTGACTGGGAACGATTTATTTCAGGTGCTTCATGGATCTTCAGTTTCCTAAAAAGCAACAAAAAAATGCCTTTTTGGATAGATTTCAGTTTAATTTTTTAATTGCTTCAAATCTTCTTCCAAAGCATTAGGTATAGATCTTAAAACTTTAAAGAACATATGTATATGTGAGGGGTGCTAAGCATCCAGCTCATGGTTTTGGCTCAAGTTATGATCTCATGGTTCGTGAGATCAAGTCCCGAGTTGGGCTCCGTGCTGACAGCGAGGAGCCTGCTTGCGACTTTCTCTCCCTGTCTCTGCTCCTCTCCCTGCTCACTCGAGCATATGTGCTCACTCTCTCTTTCTCTGAATAAACTTGAAAAGAACATATCTGTGTGTGTGATAAATGGCAAGGACCATGGGTTTTGTTTTTCATAGACAGTTTAGACCTTAGTTTTAATTTTGATTCCTATTATTGATACTGACTCTGTCTTGGTACTTAGTCCCTTAAATATTCAGTGTGCAGCACTGCAAAATAGTGATGGTAATACTTACACTTTACTATTGCTGTGGGGGTTAAACATACTAATGTGTGTGAAACAGCATAGTGTCCTGGTCATAATTAGATTGCTCAATATAATAAGAACTTTTAATGACATGGCCTAGCATTACAAAGAAACACAGTGTTGTCCAAGAAGGGGACTTCCCATCCTAATTTAGAAATCTGTTGTGCAATAAAGTAGAACCATTATTTTTAGGCAGAACTGGCATGAAACAACTCAGATTTAAGAATTTGAAGTTGAAAATCCATGACAAGAATGGACACAGCTTGAGGGGAAAGTCTACTTGTTGAATGCCAGAGACTGAGAACTTTGAAGTCAAAAGAACAGTTCCACATCCCAGTTCTTCCATTCGCCGACTGTGCAATCTTAGTAATGATTCTTAATCCCCTATACCTTAGATTCCTTGTCTATAAAAAGAAGAAACTGTACCTAAATTATGTCTACATTGCAGGCTTCTTGTGATGTCATGAAGTATCATGTAGATAGTAAGACACAGTAGATAGTAATAGAATTAGTAGTAGGTGTTTGTGGTGTTACCTTCCTTTCTGAACGGATGTAATCATTTTTTTTTTTTTTT